TAATATTTTTTTTAAAAAAAAAAAAATTGAAGTACGAATATCGGAATAAAAAAAAATTATGATTGCGGATTGGTAATTTCTTTTTTTTTTATATCACTATTAGATCAGTTAATGATCAATGATCATGTTTAGATTATTGGCTATTCAAATTTTCTTTATCGAATATCAAAAAATGGATGATTATTCTCCGCCTAGCATTATTAATTTTTAATTACAAATCTTTGTAACTTCTTAATATAACTTTTTTTGTTTAATAATCCTTTTAGTGTAATCTAGTGTGATACTTAATTTTATTATTTAGTATTAACCAAACTTGTTAATTCAATGAAGTTTAAAAATTAAATATATAAAAAAATAAAATTTACTAAAACTAAAAAAGAATTGAAAAGCTGTTTTGGGAGAATGATGATAAATAACCTTGATACATACACTATGATATTAATTTAACCTTATCTAAACCTGTTGTCTCACGTAAACATAATATGAATCCAAAAATTCTTATTATATGCCTTTGTCCTCCTTTCGAAACTTGATTGTTCTCAACTTTCTTTCTTTTAATGATAAAGATTTTATTGTTTAAAAATAAGATCATAATGGTTGGTTGTCTATAAAAATTTAGATTAGATTACACATGAAAATTCGTGCGCGTTGCTCTTACGACAATTTATTTTGTCGATTTATGCTATTTATGGTGAAATAAATAGATCAGATGAGGTTTCTTGTTTAATAATCTAACGTTTTATGTTCAAGTCAAAATCAAAATAATTTTTTTTTTGATTTCGGGTATAAGATTTGTATGACGCGAGAATCTACATCAAACGCGATGTTACTAATAAACTTTATCTTACTTGAAGATTTTATATGTTATGCTATTAATATAATTGCATTACATGCATGAAATGTATTTTTCTGTGGAACCCCGCGCGTGTAAGTAAATAATGTGATAAGGATGTTCAATCCACTATACATCATGACATAATGATCATGTTAATTAGAAAGAGTTGAAAGAATAATAGAAGGAAATGAAGAAGCAATGCGGTTATATGCATATAAATATATATATTCTTTGACAAACAAGGCAATTTGTTTGGAATAAAAAAAAGAATTTTTTCCTTCCTATACAAATGTTCTAAAAATAAATAAATAGAGTAAAACCGGGTACGGATTTGGAATAATAATAAGCAATTATTATCTGGATTTTTTTTTAAAAAAAAAAAATACAAACAAAAAATATCAAAAAAAAAACAGACTTTTAAGTATCCCTACGCAAAGTTTAACGATAAATGATCATTTGTTGCACATTTTAATTTAAACCGACCAAATCACTTGTTTCTTTAAAAGATCGAAAATTGCTTTAAATAAATTCAAAACAAAAACCTTTAATAGGAAAGGGAGAACAGAAATACGAGTATTTGACCAACCGGAATAATGTATTAGAGGATATATTTAGAAAAAATCGACCGATTTTCACGCGTATATGTAAAAAATAGAAATAAAATTAACCATTTAAGATGGAATAGTTAGGCGATTAAAGAATTACGGGTCGATGAATCGAGCCTGAAATATATTCTATTCCATCGCAAACGCTGATCATGTGAACTGACGTGTCGGATTAGCTAATCAAATCAAGTAATGTAGATCATCTTGGATAAACTGGTTAATACAAACCATTGTTTTTGCAGATTTATTTATATTACCGTCGTGTATGACACAGCTAAACAAGCTAAAACAACAAATAATATATGGTTCGGAATTGATTACGGGATGGTCTGCCAGTTGTTTTAATTAGCAATGTTATTTTCGGAGAAGTTTTGGTTTTAAATTAACTATTTAAAGGATATTAATAATTTATTGATTGTAAAGATATTTTTAGACGAGCATGCGTGATGGTAAAAAAGAATGTACTGACACTTTTATGTGGTAAAACCCGAGTTGCATTTAACATAACATTCCTTATATTTAAGGAAGTGAAATATCCTTCTCGTGAAAAGAGTTTACAAATATGATAAATATGATGGATGCTCCATTACGTTACACCATTATTTATAGAAAAAGATATATTTTTTTCTTACGCATCTTTATTTTTATTTTATTTCTATTTATTTATTTTTTGGGGGCTATGAATAAAAAAAATTGAAACACCCCTTTTGTGTAATTAGGTATGTATGATTAATGTGTTGTTAATTAGTTGTGTGTAATTTCTCTCGTTTCGATTGATGATCAACAAGCATATTTTTTTTTTCTTTTTTTTTTCTTTTAATTTTTCCGCACAGGTTCTCCTATCTATCTTCATAATAAAAAAGAATGATGAGATGGATGTCATTAGGAACGTTACGTCCATAATCTTTTGAAAATCATTTTCTCGGTCTTTATTAACCGTAAATTTTTTATCCCCTTTGTACTTTTTAATTGTTTTTAACATCGTAAAATTATTCAATTTGTCAACTTTTCCTTGTTAAAAAAAAAGAAATACCAAAGGGACAAAGAGTTAAGTCAAGTGATGACAAACGAATATAATTTGATGAGGAATATAAGTATGCAGGGGATAAATTAAAATTTCAATATTTATCCCTAGTTGAATTAATAATATTAAGCGGAATAATAATAATGTTTTTGTATTGTATTGTCTTGCAAATTAGTATGAGTAATGGAAATTTGAAATCAGTCGGATATTAATAATATTTAAAAAAGATTAATATGCAATTAAATCGTAATAATTTCGTACGTTGTTAATTTCATAATATTTGTACAGCAATATGCAGACAACAGTTTTAAAACAATATTATTGTTTTATTAAAGGAAAAAAAGGTTGGAAGACGAAGAAAAAGAAATAATGGATTTAATTATTTATTTGGGAAACATAAGATGCATCATTCTCGTTGTTGAGAAATATCTTGGAAGGAATATTTTTTTTTTGCGATACACATATGCCAACATCTTTTCTTTTTTTTTTTTAAAAAAAAAAAAACAATGCCTTTCCAAGATTGGAGGCAGTTAAACGCGAATTGATTATTAATATTATTGTAACAAAGGATACTATGACGAAGGATGCGTACTTACCCAAATCACGGACATGTTGTTTATCGAAGTGAAAAAATCGTTGAATTATTGTTTGTTGTTTACGCTAGTTTATGGATAAAGGAGAAATAGTTTGAGAGGGAATGTTTCATGTATTTAGTATTACTTTTTTTGCTGCGGGTTATACATTATCGCTATTAAATCAAAATTAATTTTAAATTACATTAGATATTTTTATTTATATATTTATTTATATGTATATATGCGTATATATAAATATCAAAAATTCGGTCTAACTAATTATACATAAAAGATTTTCCTTATTACCTCGCGTATCTTCCAATTTGATGATTTTATTGCTTTTTGATTCCATTTCTTTTTTTTTAAAATAAAAAAGAGATCCACATAATATGAGATTGAATTTGGTCATCCTCCCTCTTAGAGATTCATATGACAAGATTGATTTTTTATTACCTTTAATTTTTTTTCCGATTTGACCTATTTTATAAAGCATTTTATGCGCATTATTATTTCCCTGCCCCCCTCATTTTTTTTTTTTAAATTAATTGAATTGTTTCGAAATTAGAAACAACATAAAAACATAAATACCAAAAATTCTATATATAAATCTGAAATATATCTTATTTTTACTTGTCCTGTAAACCATCAAAAAAAAAAAATTCTTGACATAATCGAAATAATCCCAACTTTTTAATGTGATAGCTGTCTATTATTTTATATTCATTTTGGATTGATATTTACAGTGGCATTCCACCAAACTACGTTTTAAACACAAATCAGGTGTGATAACTAGTTTACCATTTAGAATAAAAAGAATCAGGTATTTTATCTTTATCTTTTTTTTTTTTATTTATTTAAGAGTAAATATATATGTATAGATACGTATATATAATTATTATTTTTTTTTCTCTTTCTGAAATGAACACACTCCAAGTTATATAATAAATCAACAACAAACAACTTGAACTTTTTTCTTTTAGACTAACTTTAAAGTAACACTTTAAAACTGTATCTTATATAAATATAAAACCGGCACGTTATTTTTTTTTTTTTTTTTTTTTTTTTTGAAAATCAATTTTTTAAAAAAAAATTTTTTTTTTATTTGCTTCATTTTTTCCTATTAAATTTTTTAGTTTCTGCTGATATATGATTAAATATACATTACGTTATACTATTTATATATTTTAACGATAAAAAAAAAAAACAAAAAAAAAGAAACGAAACGTAAAGCGAAAAAATCCTATTACAAAACGAAATAAATAATTATTTACGAATATACTCCTTTTTTCATGTTCATTATCAAAAATATTTGGCTTATTTTAATTATTCTTATATAATCTTCCTTCATTTATTAATTTGAAATGACAAGTAATCACGAAATTACTTTTTATATTCATTACGTAGCTACTTTATTAATTTAGATTTTTTTTTTTTTTATAAAACAAAATTTAATTCCTCGAATATTTCTTTTTACAAATCACTTACCACAATTATTATAATCATAACAATTCTTGCATCTATGACTCTAAGTTTTTCGACTTCAACTTCTTCTCCTTCATCGTCTTCCTCCTCCTCTTCTTCTCCTTCCTCCCCCTCCTCCTCTTCGCTGGTTGCATCTTCTTCTCCTACTTCATTGGCAGTGTCCGCAACGACAAATTCTCCTTCACTCAATCCTACTTCCGAAGAATATCACAAGAGATATTTTCCCAAAAAAATGACCTGCGCCGCAGCTAATATTGCAGATTTCATAAAAAGATTATACAGGTAACTTTATTAATCATGTTAAAAAAAAACGCGTTTTCTTTTCTCTTTTCTTCCTTTGCTTTCATTTCTTTTAAAGGCAATCAATCATTGACTTATCGTAAAATACGTTTTGTATTTACATTTACAAATTCATATTTTTTTTTTTACTAAATCTCCTTTTTCTTTTTTTCTTTTTTCTTTTTTTTTTTTTTTATAGAATGTTGGAAGATAAATCTCACTCTCACATTGTTTCTTGGGGAGTGACGGGAGATACATTTGTCGTTCATGATCAAACGGAATTTTCAAAGAGTATTTTACCACAACATTTTAAACATAATAATATGGCCAGTTTTGTCAGACAATTAAACAAATATGATTTTCATAAAATAAAAAGTAATGAAGATGACGGGAGACCATACAGCGATCAGGTAAAAAAAAAAAATTTCGGGGGGGGGGCTTCGAATATTTCATTAATTAATAATGGTGTAACGAAATGAATTTTCAACGATCTTCCAATAAATTCTAGTCGTTTAAAAATTCCATATTTTTGATGTGCATGACTCATTGCTTTATTAGAACATTTTGTTTTTACTCGCGTTTATATTTAGTTTAAACTTTAAATTTATTTATAATTTGCCACGCGATACTTGTATATAAACAATTAGTAATTTTTAATTTACAAAGCTAAATATTGTTTCCTTATGCTCTCTTTTAATAAGGCTTGGGAATTTCAACATCCGAAATTTCAGTTGAATCGAAAGGATCTACTTGAAGAGATAAAGAGGAAAATCCCAACTCCACGTAACAAAAGGCAAAATGGGACGTCCATAAGAAGTGAAGATAAACAGCCTCACTATTTTCAATTCCAAGAGGAATGTATTGCTGCAGCAACTCCAAATGATACATCAACCTCCATAATACGACAACAACAACAACCACAGAAATCCATTAATGGTAATACAAATGATGTGCCAATGCATCATTCTACTGATCATTCGATTTCTCGGTCATCATCACCACCATCTACACCATCTGATCTACAATCTCAAGTAGAAAATTTGACGGAATTACATGCCAATTTATCTGGTCACGTTAGCAATCTATCAAAAAATTGTGGTACTATTCTTGAAGAAATCACAAACTTTAAAAGAAATCTTGCTGAGCAAGATGCTTTATTTAGTAATTTATATCAGATTTTAACTAATCAACTTAATAATAATCATAATCATAATAATCATAATGATAACAATAATCATAATTCAGGTATCATATCCATTCTTTTTTTGTTTAAAAAAAAAAAAGAATAACCAATAACGTAATAACTTGCTTACTAAGTAGACCGAACGTTACGACCTATCACAGATAATGGTCCGGGTGACCATTCTCCTCCTAATAGGAGATATTCGTCAATATCACCCATAACTACTTCCACCACAACAAATGGATTTCATGATTCAAGCGAATCTTTTATATCACAAGAAAATCTGATGTTAAATTCATTAATACGAGCAAATTCATCTACCGCAACGACCGCGACACCGACAATAACTGACAACAATTCAGATGAAACATCATCAATATTACCTTTGGTCAATGGAATGAGTGGGCTTTCTCATCAATTCACTATGGGAACTTATTCCAATTCTCAACAAATCAATTTTAACTTAAACCCATTTTCCACACCAAACCCTTCGCCCCCTATACCTAACACCACAAATCATCGAATGTTTATTCGTGGTGATAGAACTTCAATGACTGTACCTAATTGGTCCATACAACCAAAAGTTTTATTAGTGGATGATGAAGCATCTATTTTGGAAGGTGGTAGGCAATTGCTACAAACATACGGTTGCCAATCTGATACGGCTTCTGATGGTTTAACCGCCGTTAGCAAAATGCAATTACAGCCATATGATTTGGTTTTCATGGTGAGTGTTCCTCTAATAAGATGCGTCAAATTTAATGGAGCGAAATTGACAAAAATTTATTTCCTCCTTCCTTTGTTTTTTATCCAGGATGTTGTGATGCCAAATGGATTGGACGGATTAAACGTAGCACAACAAATTCGACGGTTTAATCATACAACACCAATAATAGGGATGATTTCAAATGATCAATCAATTAGTTCAGCATCGAATGATTCGGATTATTTGAATTATGGTATGAATGATTTGTTACCAAAACCATTCACGAGGCCAGGAATTTATGCTAAAATAGACAAATATTGTAGTCATTTAAAGGCTAATAATATATTGATCTCTCCATCACGAAATGACGATGGCGACTCTATACAAAGGTCCTTCGGTAGTTTAAATGGTTCTGCGGAAGATAATACACGTCAACAATTACAACAAAGCGGGGTGACTGTTACAACTTCTGTAAACTATTTATCCGCTTCTCCTATGGATCTATACCACCATCATCAATTTAGTAGAGGTGGTGATATCGATGATTTAATAAGTAAAGAAAATATAAGAAAGAGAGCAAAATTTTCGTAATCCTCCTTTTTAAAACATAAGATTATTTTTATGGAAAAATTTTTTTTAAAAAAAAAAAAACATACATACATATATATATTTATGTATGTGCTTATGAAATATATGGACATTTTCGCCTTTTTACCTTTTTTTTTTTTTTTTTTTTTTTTTTTGTTCTTCTTTTTATCTTGCGAAAATTAATATAGCAAGAAAAAACAAAAATGATATTAAAATGAAATACAGCAATTACCCCTTCTTTTACGGCTGTAGATAAAAAATAATTGGGCTTCTCGTCACCAAAAATTTAGTATAGGATTTTTATATATATATAAATATAACCGAATTTACGTTTTTTCATTTATCGAGAAGTTAATAATCATTTTTGGATTTCTTTCAATTCGAGTATCTCCAAAAGACTTGTTAAACGAAATTGGTGACCATAAACACAAACATAAACGAAAACGCAACAAATTACTAAGCGAGACAACATTCGAAACACAATAACATTTTCACTTTTTTTTTTACTATTTATTTTCTTTGGCATTTTTTTTTTTTCCTTATTTTTGGCAAAAAAAAACTTTCTTTTTCCTTTTTGATTTCGTAATTTTCTTAAAAGTTCTTCTTTCTTTGTAAAATAATTTTTTTGAATTTTTCTTTTTATATTGGTCTGTTTTTCCTCACTTTTTGCATATTTTTTTTTTCATTTTTCTTTTTTGTATACTGTACATACATGTACATGGTGTGGTAATCTTTAAATTTTAATAAAAAAAAAAAACTTTTTTTTTTAAGAATATATAATAATGTTCATTTATTTATTTATTTTAGATACAGAAAAGGTAAATAGGCTTAATAATTGAAAAAGAAACGGAAGGTGTGGTGATAAATATATAAATTCCTTTTTGTTTTTTTTCGCGTAAGTAAAAAAAATTGTCGAATACTGCGTTTGGTCATGTATGAAATGTTACACCAATTTATTAAAAAAAAAATTATTAAAAAAAAGCAACGTTGAAATTGATAAAAAAGAAAAAAGAAATCTATCTTTCTGCTTTTTATACTTTTAATACAAGGATGATGAACGGAATGCCCCTTAGATATCACGGGAATTTGAGCAATCTTTTAAGAACAGAAGTTCCGACATTGAAAAACGCTAAAAAATAAAAATAAAAAGGGGGGAGAAAAAGAATGAAAACGCGAATGATGAGATACACGCAAAAAGATTCGGTAGATCGAATTTTATTATAGTGATCTTTCCATTATAATCAAACGAAAAATGATACGGATTTATGTATTGAAATTGCCCACCATTAATAATTATAAACACGTTTGTTTACCGGTTGTAAATGAAAATTTTCTATCGACAATCTTCTCTCGACCTTTCAGGATTCAAAGATGAACCGTCCTTGTGGATTTAATTCAGCACCATAAAAAAAACGCGTCTTCCTTTAAGAAGATATCATAATAGCGAAAGAACGTTTGAAAAAAAAAACAAAACGTGAAATGAAATAATTCGCTCAACAAATATAGTTATAACCAAAACTCTAATAATAATTATAATTTATAATAAAGTGAAAATTGAAAAAAGCATTTCGAGTCTTTTGTATAACGTGAAATTACTTACCTTTATTAGACCTTCAAGTTTGCTTGCTTGATAGTCAGGTTAAAAATGGATCACTTCAAATTTTATTAAATTTCATTGTGAACCCTTTATAGTGTCCAAAGACTTTAACTCATTTAAGAAATAATAATATATAATTTACTGTACAGAACATCTGATTATTTTCACAACTAATCCGTTTAAGATAATCAATATTGTCCATGTGATCCACCAAAGTTTTGTTTGTGCATCTTGGATTTGCAGCCGCTTCAGCCGCAGAAAAGAGATTTTTGTTTGTCATGCATGTGAAAGTTTGAAATGAGAAATATTATTTTATCACGAATCGTAAACAATAATTACAATATCTTGAATAAATATTTCCACAAACAACAGGAAAAAAAAAAGATACAAAAGAAAATTCTTTTTTTCATCAACAGCTTTCAGGTGTGACGAACCTTTGCTAAATTTTCAACAAATGATCCTTCCGAACTTGGCAAAACTATACAAAGAGTAAAATGGAAATATAATAAAGTAAGGAAAAAAAATCAATTTAACATCTTTGGAATACACTTACCGGGATTTCCGATTAACATGAATTTAGAATACATTAATTTAATATGAAACAAGAAATTTAGATGAGTTGATAGTAAAGTTACAATCAGAACAAAAGATCGTTTACGAATGTAAACATTACATCATTCAACATGTCAAACTAACCATCTTGGAAAACAGGTTAACGTTATCAATTCGATCTATTTTTTTCGAAGATAACAGAATAACTCTATATCTGGTTGGCTAATTTTGACTTTATGCAATCATATGTTCACGAGCTAACATTCAGCAAATTCTAAAAACGTTGGACTAATGCGGTTTCAATCCAGTTGTAAAAAATAAACTGATGTAAGGATTGTGGGTCAAAATCAATCATGATTCTTTGTCACCTTTCCTTATTTAGCATTGTGTAATGAGATATTTTTATTTTTAAAATATGTGGGGACGGGATTAAAAAATAAAATAAACATGCGGAAATTTAATTATTTAATTGATTAATTGATATAGTAATATATGCCGATCAGATTTTATTGATAGTTGAAAGGTGGTCAAAGATTCAAAAACCGTGAGAATATGAGCTTTGCCCTTTAAATATTGATTGGTAATGTTGAAATGCTTCTCCTTGAATTTGTTGTGAAAAAAAAAATTGAATGAATAAATAAAAAATATTTTTTGATACTAAACCAATTTTCTTGAGATTATTCTTTTGCGATAATGTGTGTAACATATGATTAAGCGAGATATGGAATCTTATTCAAATTTTAATAAATCCTAATTCTAGAATTTTTTTTTTTTCTCCTACTAATAGGAATTATTGACTTTTTAACTTGTTATTCAAATTGCTTTACTTTACACTTACGCCCAATGAATCCATTAGATGATTCAATGAAAAGAGAATCCATTTTAGGTCAAGAGCCATCTCATGTGACAACAAAAGACCAAAACCTTTCACAATTTATGAAGACAATATTACACACCATTTATCTTTTTATGTATTGTAAAGATGTATAGTAACTTTGATGACTACATTCTACATATTTAATCCAGGTGCACAACAGCCCAAATTTTGTCTTAGAAATTCTATTGATCATAATCAATGTTAAAAAAAAAGATATTTTCGAAAATAACTTTATTTCCTTTCTTCTTTGTATTTTCTTATCTGTTTTCGTTCCGTGCTTCTTAATTTGGTGAAAAAAAAAGAATAACAAGTTCAATCTGACCTTTAGTTATTGACGATTGGTTGCAGTTTAAGGTCGTCAGATAAGATAAAGTTCGCCTGTAATTTAAAAAAAAAATTTGTCAAAACCAGAGTTTCACGGTACTGAGTTCCCTTGAAATTTTGTGCAAATTTGGTTACTTTAAAATTAAAAAAATTCTAATATTAATGATGGCACAATGATGATTATCCGTGATACAAAAAAAAAACTCTTTACTCTTTTTATAAATCATTTATTTTATATAAACCCCTTAATAATTGGGATCCCAATTCTTCCAGAGGAACTATATAGTACGAAAAAAAATTCTTCTTTCCTTCAAAACTCTTTTTCATATTTCGCTTATCCAAAAGAAAACGAATTATTAATTTTTTTTTTATATACTAGGTTAGATTAATCTTAATTTTTATTATTTTCTTACGTGACGTGACGCCTTGTAATTTAAATGTTAACTTCTTGTTTCGTCGTATTTTTACTCAATTATAGTCAAAAAATTTCAAATTTCTTTCACCATGGATAAATTTGCAGCAAAAAGTCGTGTTCCTTCTGATAATGAAATGAAGGCTTTGTCATCTTCGGATAAAACCGAAAAAAATATACCCCGTGGAGATACTGCGCCAGTGAAAATGGTCAAACCCAACAAAACTCGGGTTGAAAAACCCTTGACTCCTCCGGAAGAGAAACGTTCCGTAAGTTTTGACCTTTCCACATTAACTTTGGCCATTCCCAATGATGTGAATACAATCGCCACTTCCCCCTCCGAATCCATTGATATTCCTGCACGTGAGCTTTCTCAGGACATCATGGTCGCATTGGTGGAACGTGATACCGAAATGAGGGAACTATTTATTTGTAACCAAGATTTCTTTGATATGGTTAAGCAAAGTACTTTTGAGGATGATGATGCATGGAACGAATTCCTTGAACTTTTATATTCAAAACGTGAAGACAAACCCGATTCGGAATGGATGAATTCGATCTCTGAATCTCTTTCTGCAAATCCACCCTTACTTGTCACCTTTAAACAAATTATTGGGTTTTATGACGATGATGATACTCAACAAGAATTTGAAGATTCTTATTCCCCCGAAATTTCTGGCACGTCAAATGATGAAGGTTTTATTGATATCACTCCGATACGTGGTTTTCCAAAGATAATGGAGAACCTTGAAAAATCCTACCCACAATTCTTCATAAATGCAAAAAATATCCTTGGCAAAGAGCGACAACGAAGGGGTAGTGTGTTGGGTGGAAATCATTTATTAGATAATGATAACCCACTTTTACATCCAAACATTGAAAATCATTCTCCTGAAGCATCTTCGGAAACGCTTTACGAAGAATTTAAACGCATCTTACTTACTCCTAGAAGTGAAATGGATGATAATGAATGGGAAACCGCCATTTATGAATGTTTAGACCCTTGGCCACAACTTATCTGTCAATTAGAAGATATTATTCTCTATGAAATCTCTGAGGAATAATGCTTTTTTGTTGCTTTTTTGTTTTGTACGCACATTGTTAACACGCGATTATTATAAATAATGACTTTTTTTTTGGTGATGCAACTTCCATTATTTTCTATTACAATATTTCTTTTTTATGTTCCCTTTTTTTTACTCAACTTTTGCTTCATTTTTAATCTCAAAATAAGAAAAAAAATTCACGTGTACAGAAAATATAAATTAAAATAATCATGTATAAATTTCTTTAATAATAATAAAAAAAAAATTTATCTTTTTTTATAATACTTTAGTCGCGAGTAAGGTTTTTTGTTTTTTTTTTTTTTTTTTTTTTGGTGCAATGCATCTAATATCTAATCTATCTTTCTTTTTCTCTTTAGGTTCCCTTATCTCTGATTTATGGACACATGATTGTGTTACTGATCATATGATCCGAATTTCTGGATTTACAAACACCATATGTAGCAATTTCTCGGTTTGTCTTTCTTCACTTCCTTAATTGTACAAAATTTGGATTGTTCGGAATCAAAGATAACGGCAAAAAGGGTCCATTATCAGATAAAAATTTTTTTTTTTGATTTTTCCCACAAAGATAAATCAAGAACAAAGGAAATAGACCCTTGTAAACTATAATGTGACTGGATTATATTCGAACCAATGATCTCTTAAAAACGAAAATTAAGGCTACATGACATGCATGGCGTAAAACCTTATTGTCACCGACAAAAAAAATTTGTCTATAAAGAATTTTAGTACCTTTTGGATCATCTCAATCGTAAGTTGTTAAAAATGTGGTTTTACTAAAATTTGGGCTATCCTTATTTGGTATTCCGTTTTTTAAATTAGACAAATCCAACATTCTACCAAAATTTCTTGCATCTTTCTAAATCTCACTTAAAGCATATAAAAATTATTAGTAATTTTAATTTTCTTCTTTTTATTAATTTTAATTAATTTAATATTTGTTACATTTTACGTATAATTAGTGATTTAGCCATGATCCATATATTAAAAAATTTACACCTTAATAAACTAATAAAATCGGACGAATGATTTGTTCCTTGCGTATTTTATAATATAATCAACATATACATATTTATTTGCTTCAATAAATTGATTTGATCTTTATGATGGAACCCAATTTTCACATTTGACTTGTTATTAGACTGTTTTCATATCCCTATTTAACTTGTTCGATTAATTTTATATTATTTTTTATATGATACCATCCATTACAATACTTTATGATTAGATGATGTCACAGGCGCAGTAATGTGGCGCAGTAATTGTAATTATCTACGAAGCATTTTAACAATTATGCTCAAGGTCAGAGGAAAAAATGCCAAGACTTTGATCGTTACCAATAACGGTTTTTGCCAAGTAAAATTCACTTATGAATTAGCTGTATTTATTATCTGACCATGAATAGTTCGCTAAGAAAAATTACAGGATTCGGTAATACATAAACTTGTTTACAAAGTGAAATGGCGTTTCAATGCAGACCACGCTATTAATACATTATCATAATCCCAATCATCGATATTCTATGTAAAACAAAAATGGTTGTTAGTTATACATATATGAGGTGTACAGTACCGGAAAATAAGTCAATGGGAACTTATGTTGAAATTTTATGTTATTTATAATCCGTAAAAAAACAGAATTACAGATTAGTCATGAGCAGAAATAACATACTTAATTAATTTTTTTTTTTTGGCTTCATAATACAATTAATCTATACATTACTTTACTATTTCTAATCTGTGCTCTTGATACCAACATCTAAAAGTAATACATACTGCTCTATTCTTTTTGTGATCCATTGTTTGACATTCACTACATTTTTTGATTGATCCCTTTCTTCCTTCTTCACTATGAATGGTTGTTTTTGAAAATTTTTATATGTATCTTTTGGAACAACAAAATAGTGTCGGATAGTATGATCTGCTGACTCATCGCCTAGCTTCCCATGTAGTAATTCATATCCATATTGTTTAATATCATGTGTTCTTTCCACTGTCATCTGAAATGTAAAGTCATAGTCTTTTCCAATATAGATGGAATCAATGGTTTCAAAATTCTTTGCTACCGGTTTACAGTATTTGCCATCTTCAATGTCATCTACTGTGCAATAATTTTTTATTGTAAGCTGAGGAAGTCGTAATTTTTGTTCTTTCCCACAGGATTTTTTACGTCCTTCTAGTGAGCGTATCATAATGTTTTGCCAGCACTTAGTTCATTATGTATGATAATTTCAAACATACACTACTCTATCAAAAGTATCCGGTTGATCAATTATTTTATTATAAATATTATAAATTTTTAATATTTAGTTGGCCATCCTTGATTTTCAATACATGCTTCTATCTGACGTGACATGCTTTCAATTAAATTAATATAAGTTTCGGATGGAATTTTTTTCCATTCTTCTTGCAATACTTTTTCAAATTCATTTAAATTTTTTGGATATCCTGTTCATTTTCGAAGTCTCCGTTCTAGTTCATGTCACAAATGTTCAATAGGATTAAGATCTGGAGATTGAGAAGGCCAATCTGAAAGAATCTTAATCTTTTTCTGTATAATCCAATTTTTGACATCCTTCATGATATGAACAGAAGCATTATTATCCTGAAATGCATAAGGCTGTTTATGATGTTTAGATAGAATGAATGATAATAAATTTTTTTCTAAAATATCAATATAACCAAATCTATTCATTTTACCATCTACTTTTACCAATAGTCCCAATCATTTTCCTGAAAAACATTCCTATATCATAATATCTCCGCCACCATGTTTAACCATTAGTGTTAAATTCTCAATATTATATCAGGTTCCATCTTTTCGCCAAACACGAACAGAACTATTATTTTGAAAAATGGTAAATCTGGACTCATCACTCCAGATGACAGTTTTTCACTGTCTAACTAACCAATTTTGTCATTCCATACACCATAAAAATCATTTTTTACGTTAGGATTTATTAAGAAGTGGTTTTGGCATAGAAACCTATGAATTCATCCCTATTTGATAAAGGTTTTTACGAATGGTTACAGCTGAAATATTTTTATCTTGTGAATTATTAAATTTCTGTTGAATTTCTTTAAGAGAAAGTCGATTGTTTTTTTGATAATTTTTGAAAGGTTACGATGATCAACATTATTCATGGAACATGGTCTTCCAGTTTTTTAGCTGTTAATCCATTATTGAGATTTTTGTATCGAGAAATTGTGTCTGTAATATTACTTTTTGGAATTTTTAAGACACGATTAATGGTTTCATAAGTCCTTTCTCTTTTCCAAAGTCCAATGACTTTTCACGCTCAAATTCATTTAATTCGTGATTTTTTCCATTTCAAAATATGCTTTGATAGCACAGTAAGAAAAGTTAAAGATCATCATTACACAAAATTGATCATTGTTTTATTGCCAAATTTGGTGTATACATCATAATAATAAACAAATAAACAAATTTTAATCGTTAGAAATCGAGCATTTATTTAAAAAAAATTATATTAATTAATACAGTCAATTCTTTCTACAGCGAATTTTGATATAACGAATTTTACAATACAACGGATTTTCAGTGTCAGACAGATTTTTAAATATAAAAAAACCCTT